TTAATAGCCTTTCTTATCATAAAATAAGAGGTCTCTGAAGTTATACGCCTTAGTAGCGCGCTAAACAACTAAACAGGGGATGTATTGTATAGTGCTTTTTGGCAGTAGCGGACTTTGGCCGAGACATTCGTAACCAACGAGGCCGCTGCACGATTCAATAGTTTCTGGTGCACAGACGGCTTGGAAAGACAAGTCGACTGAGGGTAGTTAGACACTAACCGCTGTCGTTACCAACCGGTATTGGCTGTCTCCATGTTTATCTAGGTACATTCTCTCAACTCTGCTTAACTACCATCAATCAATCCATCGTGGATAGCATATCACCTTAGCTGTCAAGCAAGACTGTTTAATTCCTCGAGGACTACTATCAACTGATTGACACCTACATTACCACTCCCATCATGACATCGGAGGCTGTCCCTGGAGTCAATGAGCGCCTTTCCGCCATCATCCCCGCGCTGGGTATTGACATGGAGCTGGCAGAAACGCTCCGCTCGAGGGCCCAGGTCGTTTCTGGAGAATCCGCACTGGACGTAATCGACACGGCGGCCAGTGATGTCGTACCGGCTGGACAAGACCTGGATCGTATCGTGCTGGCCAATAGAGTGACAGAAATCTCCGATAATAGCGCAGACCAGTTACTGGGACTCTTCTCGCCAAGGGCTTATGAGCGGCGAAAGACTCCATTTCGCCCTCAAGCAGCTCGAGTCGGCCTATCTAGAGGATCGAGGCTATGACTACGAGATCACAAAGCACATATCTCTTCGCCAGCTCAACTCGCTCGCCCTAGTCAGCCTTCGTGAAACCGGGTCTTACACCTTCACAATTCCGGAGGCCGTCTTTAACCTTGACTTCCCGGGCCACTATCTCCGCCGTATCAAGAGCATCTCCCTCAGCGTTCCTTGCGTAGTAGGACCCTATACCTCAGTTAGCACGACACTCCGCTTAGAGAGCAACAAGTACCGCATCGACCCGGCCGTGAGGTCCAGCTATGCTGAAGACCTCAATTCTGAGGATAATCGCTTCTCAACCACGCGGGTACCGCTCCCAGCCATCGCCACGTCATCCGGGACCGATGATTCCGGCATGTTCGAGGTCAATTTCCGCCACGAGAGATACCTCCCGTTTGAGGGCGCTGGAGCCATCAGCACCTAGAACCTCGAGCTCTCGTCTGCTGTGCCTCAGTTCGACCATCAGAGCATCTCTGACGTGGTACTGCACATGCGATGCACCACCATAGACGGCGGTGGCGCTCTGAAGGGCGCAGCCAAGTTAGCCATTAAAGCTGCGCTGGACACTGAGGAAAAGTGTGCCCTGATTGATCTTCGGAACGAGATGGCAAACTCGTGGGCTTCCCTATCAGCGGCAGGCGAGAACAGCGATCGAGTTATCACTATGCCCCGAATGGAAACCCGAGTGCCATTTTACATGAGACAGAAGAGACTCATCGCTACAGGCATCACTATCCTTAGCGACGTAGAGCTCCCAAGTGGCACTCTATCCGGGGATCCGACGAAAAAGATCGAGCCAAAATCAGATACCCGCCAGAAAGATGTCGAATTGGTCTCTGGTAGTGGCCCGATCACGGGTGTAACGACACTCAATGGGTCCACTACTGACGGGCTACTAGTAGACGGCGCTTGGAAGCTGAAGTTTCCGAAAGGGAAGCCAATAGTGGCCAAAAGAGCATGGATGCTGATTACAATGAAGTCAGCGGCATAAGAGATCAGTTAGTTCTGTAGTTCCGTTGGAGAGCGGGAGGAATAATCGTGACTACATCGGAATTCGTTTGTTTCACGTCGTTTTCAAGGCCGCAGTGTACGTAGCTACCAGATAATAATTTCTGACAGTCAGTGACTCTGTCTTGTGAAATACCTGACTATCTGGATTTGGCTGATTCTGTATGAATCATAATGACTGACAAGGTTCAATTTATCCAGCGTCAGCAAATCTTGGACAGCTTCCTGATCGAGCCGCCCCACCCGGCAGTGAGTCACGCGATCATCAGCATCTTATCGCATCTGAAGCATAATTCGAGATGTTTATTTAAATGCAGACAGCGCTCTGCGTTATTTACACATATTTTACTGAAAACTCGCTGCAAATCTTATACTACATTCACTTGCAATCATGTCATCAACGAAACCATCTTGTTCACTTTGCGATGTCTCCTTCGACAACAGTCAGGAGCATCGAGTGCATGCCAAGAGTGAGGCTCAGTAAGTTTCAGCATACTTTATGCATGCAATGCCAAACACGTGAATACTGACATATTCCCAGTGTCCAAGCCTTGAGGAACCGTGCTGCTGCTTCGGGTCTACTTGAGCAATTAAACGAGGACAGCGACCGATTTTCCAATACAAGCAACGACCCAAAAGATGAGCTCTCAACTAGCGACGATGAAACTGGAGACGAGACATCGAACAGTGCGATCCCTGAATGTGACCCCACAAAATGCATCATATGCATGCACAGCGACGAGAGCTTTGATAAGACCCTCCTTCACATGGAAACAGCTCACGGTCTACGGATACCGTTTCGGGACCATCTGATCGTGGACTTGGAGACTGTGATCTGGTACCTTTACTTCCTAGTGGCAACATATCGCGAGTGCATCTACTGCGGAACACGGAGACGGACGGTAGAGGGAATTCAGCAGCATATGAGAGACAAAGGCCACTGCAGGGTTGATTTGACAGACGAGATGCAGGAGTTTTATGACCTTGAAGGTCTTAAGGCTCATGGTCGAGAAAACGCGGTTTCCGTTGATAACGAGAGTCTTCGGCTATCATCGGGCAAGATCCTTTCACACCGCGATGCTCCCGTCACAAAACCACGACGAACATCGCCCCACGAAGACGAAGAGGAGAAAAGAGCACCTCTTCCTAGCCATGCTGCTTCTGATGCACTTACAGCCAGAGATAAAAAGGACGCCGCTCTTGCGTCTCAATTAGCGCGGCTTAGTGTCAAAGATCAACAGAGTCTGATACACCTGACATCATCGGAACAGAGGAGTTTTCTGCTGCAGAGAAAGAAGGAATTGGATGCAGTTCGTCGGTCGGAAAGGAAGATGAGGTTGAAGACGGAGAGATTGAGTAACAGGACGATGATGACGCACTTTAAGAATGATGTTCCTGGGAGGAGTAACGGATGAGGGGTGAAATGGCTGGTTGCTTCTATTCGGGACATACGGTTGTCATTACGGACGGTTAGCGAACTTGGTAGTGCTAAAATTCTTTGAGATACTGATGATCCTTATTACTTATCATGCCGTGTATGTATGATCTATCGTGTTCTGCGTGGCTCTGTGAATTCTATCTGTTCAAACCAGCTCGCATTCAATCAGACTCTCAACTCCATTTGCGACAGTCCAAATATTGCTGATCTTCAGTCCAGCCTCTCCAAGTAGCTTCTCCCAGTTCTGTTGCGTACGTTCTCGCGAAGCAAGAAGAGTAAGCATCATGATATCCAATGCTGTAGCCTCCCACTGAGCGCCAGTATTAGGGATGACGTTCTCGTTGATAAGAAGCTTGCTATAACCGGGCTTCATGGCGGCCTTGACTTGGGCGAGAATCTTGAGACAAGTCTCGTCTGACCAATCGTGGAGAACGGAGTGCATGTAATATGCGCGAGCACCTAGGTTCCGGTTAGAGTGCTTCAAGATAAGGGAGGTAGGGCTACTTACCTTTGATGGGCTGCTCGGTATAGAAGTCATACTTCATTCGCTCAATCTTGTTATCTAGTGAAGTGATCTGATCAATCACAACGGGAAGATCCTGGAGGATGAGACGACCTGGTGCATCGGGGAACTTGCGGCAAAACTCTCCAATATCATGGCCAAAAGAACCACCGATATCAACCAGTAGAGCAGAGTCATCCGACTTCACAAAGCCATCGATAAGCTTCTCTTGAACAGGGAAGAAACCCGCATCCATCCAAGATGGTCGACCTTGACGGTAGCCGCCCATGTGAAGATGGAACAGCTGGCCGTATGGTGGATTGGTGTGAAGATGCTCGAAGAATGTCTTTTCTGTCTTGTAGCCAAGCTGTAGGGGGGAGTTGCTGATATCAGTGGCATCCTTCCATGAGTTGATGTCAGCCCATTCGTGGAATTGACCGAGAGCGTTGAGACAGGCGCCAGAACTGGAGATCGCGTTAGCGTGGAAATATGTTGGAGTCCGGGTGTTCTTACATGCAAGGGTATCCGGCGTTGATGAATGGGAAGGCCATTGACTTGATGAAGTTTGTGGCTTGGTATGTATCCTGATCAATCTCCGTGATGTATCCCATAGACGAGACATGTCTCACAAGACGAGCTTCACATTGTTAGTGATATGACACAGGAGGTGAGATGGCGATGCACTCACCAAGAAGAGCAGGCTCAATGTTCTTCTCCTTCGCGACATCAGCGACCTTAAAAGGCCCATCGATCTTGGCGACATGAGTCCAGACTTCCTTGACGGTACCAGCCGTCAAAGCGCAGTGAAGCGATGGCTCAGCCCAAACATGACGAAGCATGGTCTCTCTCGGAGTCTCGAGTGACTGCCACAAACTCTTGGCCTTGGCCATGAGCTTGAGCCGCGCTGTCGGGTCATCACTATCTAAATCGCCACTAAGAGCATTAATCTCCTTGATCAGAGAGGGAACGGCTTCAATGTTGGCGGCGTTCAGAGCGATGGATACATCGGGCTCTTCCGACTTGGTACCGTTGGCGTCTGGGGCGCCATCTGAAGAACCAGAGGAGCTCAGAGCTGAGACGGAAGCCTCGAGCTTCTTCTCGGTTCCGCGGTATTCCGTTTCGGGGACGGTATGTCCGTTTGTGTGAGAAACAGTTGTGTCAGCCATAATGAAGGACTATGTGAAAAGAAATGCTTGTGTATGGTCCACTTCAGAAAAAGGAAGCAAGGTAATTAATGTCAGTGAGTGAGTGATTCAGGAGGGATCAACAGCAATAAAAAAGAAAGGAAAGCAGCAGAAGTGCCCAGAGCTCGTCAATGCATGGCATGATAGCGTCTCTGTTGGCCGAACCCAATCCTCCAACCGTTACAGGTGCATTCTCATGCATGTCGTTGTGAAAACCGACCAATTGGACATCTTCGCAGAGGACCAGTCGTTCGGGTTGCATCCAGAAGATCTTCGAAACGGCCTGACACCACCTTCCTGGTAAACCTTTTGCATACCAAGGATATGACAAGATGCAGTGATTCGTCTGCGAGTGCTGATCACTGGATCATACGACGACATTGATACGTTTGACGGGGGCACAGAGAACGATCTGCGTTAAGTGAACGGGTATCTGGGACAAAGCTCCGTTGCGAACCTGGGAATTGTAACGTTGAACCAACAGCATGGTTTTGATCCTGATCAGGGGCTTCGCCGAGTGCTACGTCAAACCAACACAAAACCCTTGTTGAGGGGAAAGAGAAGACAACTTGATACCAGGCCCAACGCAAGCGAGAAGTCAGAAACAGGTGCTAGAAAAGAAACGAGGTTCATTCGAAGGCAATGGCTTCTAGGAATTAAAGGGAATATTATATGGAAGCAGGATAGAAGAGTAGACATGTTGATCGCCTATTTACATGTGATGCAGAAGAAACTCAAATATCAGAAAGTATTTTATGGAGAAATGTGGTCGCCAAGGGCGGAGCCAACAGTCGGTAACTGGCACCGGGAAATTGGGCCGCTTCGCCAATTGAGCCGCTTTTGGGTCGCAGTGTGCCAAGCAAAATGACAACTGGGAATAGCCGAATATACGAGGAACGCGATATAAGTACGCGGTAAATCTGGCACTCAATAACTATATCTAGCTATCTTAATAGACAGCATCGTCGCATTCTTTACCACTGCAGTGGCCTGATCACAACATGCCAGGAAATGGGGATTCAAGAAGTATAATCATCATATCAGTTGGTTCTGATGTCAAGCAAGGGTTACAACAATCCTTGGCGACACATCCTTTGGAAGGTTTGGATCGACATGCGAACCCCTGAGTCTTAGTTCGAATTCGGGGAATCGGAAATGGCCCCCACTATCCGTAACCGTTGTTGGTTGTTGGTACGCGTCGACATTCTGCAACCTCACTCCACCGACAACCTTGTCCTTTTACTACAAGTCTGCCCACCTTGCGAGATTCAACCACTTGAACGGTTCCCAAGTCAGCAAAGGTAAGTATGAGTCGACACATTTAGCGATAGCAAAAGCACTGTTTCGGCGAATGCGGCATCATGGTTGCTCATCCTTCAACAGCGTCGTATTGACAAAAATCCTTTGCACGTTGATAAAACTTAACCCTGGCTTCGTAACAAAAGGTTCGACGATCCATGGTATAGCATGGTTGGGCGCCTGTGCCTCTCATCAAACAGCCATGCCCCCCCCTTTCAGCAAACATGTCGCATGTCTACTTGTTCCTGCAGGACATAAGACCCAATCCTCTGGAATTGACCCAACCAACATGACTGAATGAGACCTTTTCCCTTCTTTCTTGAGTTATTTTTCGTATACGTGTGCGCTTGGCAGACAATGTCTTCTCCCCATCACACGCAGGCGTATCTCGACGCTGATAAGGGCCCGACTATTCTTGGGCTAGTCATCACCGTCTCTATCCTGAGTACCATCTTTGTGGCTGGTCGTGTGTATACTCGCAAGAGAATCATAGGCGCACTGCACCTTGATGACTGGTTCACAATCGTTGCAGTGGTTTGTCCCCCCGCGGTCGTCGTCTGTGTGTCGCTAATTAGCTTCAGATCTTCGAATGGTGCCAAGTCGGTGTTACAATTGTGGCTGTTAAGAACGGCAATGGCAGACACTTTGATCTTCTTAACCTGACGCAGCAGCAGAATGTCATTCTATACACTATCTTGGGGTTCCCATTTGGCGTCATGGCCTTTGGGTTTCCCAAGCTCGCTGTCGTCGCGCTCATTACACGACTTATGAACCCCGGACGATTACACAAGATATTTCTTTGGGTGCTTGCTGGATGTTGCATGATGGGTCTGATAGGGTGTATCATCATTCTCTTTGCTCAATGCTCGCCTGTCGAGTCGCAGTGGACGTTCTCTATCACTGATAAGAAGTGTTGGAGTCCTTATGTTCTTGTCAACTTTGCCATTTTTGCTGGCGGTAGGTAAAAGCGTTGATGTCAAGGATGGCCTGCTGATATTTGACCAGCCTTATCTGCGTTTACGGACTTGTACCTGGCTGTGTACCCTGCCGTGGTATTGTTCCATCTTCAAATGAACAAACGGAAGAAGATTGCCCTGTCGTTTGCTTTGGGTATTGGTTCAATGTGCGTGTTGCGCTGTCTCATTGATCAGGGGAATATACTGACCTCCATCTCTAGCGCTACCATCGTAGCCATCTACAAATGTACCCGTCTGCCATCGCTTGCAAGCAAAGACTTCTCTTGTAGGTGATTTCTGTCCTCTGTTACGTCTTTGTACTAACAACCGATAGACGAGACCTCCGATCTTGTGATCTGGACTGTGTAAGTAACACAAAATTGTTGGCATACGAACGACCACTAAGCTCACACCTCCCAGCATCGAAGCGAGCACCATCATCATCGCCTGCTGCATCCCAGTCCTGCAGCCCCTCGTAGACGCCCTCCTGGGTCGTCGCGCCTTCGGATCCTCCCCAGGATACAAGAACTACAACTCCTCCGGGTACCAGAACTACGGCAACTCCCGAACCGGTCCAAACATTGAGCTCAGCGACAGCAGAAAATTGAGAAGTGACGATCGAGGAAACATGACGAACGTGAAGTACCTCGGGTCTGGGGCCGCGGAACTTGACTCGCAGGAAAGCATACTGCGGCACGATGGGGCAAAGACAACCGATGCCCATTCGGCGGATGCTCATTCTGTTAATGCGCCGACTGAGGGTGAAGTTCCTCGATGAAGGCGGTGATGCCGAGCTAGGGATCATGGATGTAAGATAGTCAGTACGAATTTAATGCGCCTATGCTAGAAGATTCAAATAATATGCGGCCGTTTGATGAACAATAAGTGGTATAAATTGGACGTCAGACTGTGTTTAGCAATGTCTTGTGCACTGCGCTGCAGCTTTAACCGCTTTCTCTCCCTCCTTTCGGACCCGTTGATATGGTCAGTCTCAATAATAACGTGCGGCGCACCATCATCAATGCGAAAAGTCAGCTGGTAAATGACCTGGACTGTAGTTCTTTCATTGTCGCATGTGATGCGCTGGTGTCTCTCCTATCATGTCAATCAATCCATGGGCGCCAGAGCGAAGTAGCCTTGGGGCTTGGAGCATCGAAGGTCCTTGCTGATACATCTCAGCTAAGATGACAAGATAGCAACTGGCGCTGTCGCTAAACATACCGTTTTCTGCTGGAATTCCCAAGGACAGGATATGCAGATAGGCGGTAGTGGCATCTCACAAGGCTGCAGGGAAATGCCCCTCTGGCAAGCATGTCATCTCGCACCCGACAAAAAGGACTTTTGGTGCTATGCATCTTTAGTAAACGCCAGCGAAGTATCCATTATCGAGCGGTAGAAGGGGTCCTTGAGCATAGCCGCCCCATGGAAGTGGAGACGGAGATATAACCCAGATTCCAAGCTGGATAGTGAACACGAGTCATGAGCTTCAGGGTGCCATACGGCCCGAACCGTGCCTGGCTGTGTGACCTCATATATCAAGGGTTTACCTTACGTTAATTACACAGCTTCTCTGTTTATCCCGAAAGTATAATTATGAAGGTCCCTGTAAATCATCGAAGTCACGGACATAAAATGAACTGCATGTTGTACGAGCATAATTAACATGGATCTAGATTGACGCAACTGAGCTATATGAGAGCCACTCAGGCATATCACGAGCGAAAGACTTGATGCCCTGCAACACCGGGACATTAGAAGGTGTGAAGGTAGTCACCGATGTAGCCGCCACCGATCTTCGAGACCTGCTCAGCAATCTCCCCAGCACCGAAAGACTTGGCCAGGTTCTTAGCAGCCTCTGAAAGCTTGCCCTGGATAGTGACAATCATGAACCGGTGCTTCAAAAGTCAGCAGACGTCATACAAACATTCCTCAAGTGTACATACCTGGTAAGGCTTGTTATCCTTGTCATGAAGAGCAACCCAGCGGCCATCGCCATTCTTGTTCTTCTGACCATACTGGAAGCAATCGCTGATGCTAACGATCCAATTGTCTAATGCAGACGTCAGTGATTGTTCAGCTAGTTGTCTCTGTGAGTACTTACTGCCCTCCTGTCGAGCACCAGGAAGCTTTCCAATGTACTCGTTGCTCTTGGAGTCCTTGTAGAAGCGATCCTGGATGTACATCAAGACATTGGCATTGCCCTTGGATTGGTTCTGGGCGTTGACGACGTAGTAACGAGCGCTACGAGTGCGGAACATCTGGGACCATGAGATCTCAACTGCGTTCTGCTCAGCCTCCGCTGTGTAGGCGGGGACAGAGAGTTGATCTCCTTTGGCAGGGATAGACATGATCAAGAAAGTTGGTATGGTGGTTCTGTTTGTATGAGGTAAAGATGCTGAATGATAGTGATAAAAATATTGGATTAATGTGGAAGGCTCTGGACTTTAAATACTCGACTTGTCGATGATGAAGAGCTGGTTCTACCTCTCATTGCAATGCCATTCATCGTAGGCGCAGCTGAAAGGAAGCTCTAGATTCATGATCACTTGTCGTCGCCACTGATTCAGAAGAGCGCTGATCAATAGTGTCGTTAATTCCGGAGCTATTGGGGATCGATACGCTAGTGAGCACTTACATATAGTGCAGTACACTGTAAACGTGGGTGCTTTGTGCATTCGCCCGTCATCTAAGGCTGTCAAAAGTGAGCTGTAGACAAGTTTAACGTGCGACTCGATAACCTGTGATAGGCCAATGCCGGACCATATCCTCCCTCACCATATTTTGCCATGTACCGTTATGGAACAACGAGGCTAGCTGAGCTGCACAGCTCGCCACACGCAATCAAATCGGGGCGCTATTGAACTAGTGGTCTAGGCCCATGCATGTCTCGGCCGCCCCTAATCCATATGAAGCCACACCGTGCACGAATTGGCTGGGCGGTTGAACTATCAACGTTAATTACGATATCACACGTTTTATGCAGCCACGACGGTTATTCACATGACCGTATTCTCGCATATGCAGGGGCACTTCGATTTTAATTATCGTGGATGGATGACTGTGGCTGGCTGTTGAGTAACTTTGGGTACTGTTTTGAACCAAGACTTCCTCGATTTGTACCAGGCCGAGACAATGTTTCCTGTAAAGACACAGACTCAGTCATGTTTGACGCGCGGATATCTGGAACAACTCCTGAATAAGGCTGGCTGCGATGAGACATGCAGCAATGATTGGGAAGGGAATCGCAACACCATTGTGTTCATGTGAAGATTGCCACCGAAGTGCTCACGTTGCAGATCTCAACAAGATTACTATATTTCGCGTTTAGACTAGCTGGTATAACAGTTTGATTCAGAACGCCTGCTCAAAGGAATGGGAGTTGCCTAAGTCTTATGAGCTTGACTTGAAGTTAGAAGAGAATGATAAATCATGGCAGATACAAACCTACTACACTCGAAACGTATACTTAGTGCATTTTGAATCACCCAGCATTTTACGATGTTACAGCTATTAACATAGAAATATTACTTGGCTTTCACACAGTCCTACTAGTCGTATATTCCAGATGTCCAAACAACCATCTTCTGATTGCTGTACAAGACTGGCACCAGGACTCTGTTGGAACTAGACATACTATCAAGAAGAATTACTCAAAATAGCACATGCGATAGCAAATATTTGTGGCATGGGCTAGTGGCGGTTGTGAAATCCAGGCTTGGCGGACAATCGAAAGAGAATAGGCATGCGGCAACGGAAATCACGTCCCTTTCCGTGCCTTTCAGCTCTCTCCAAAGTGCATCGACATGGATTTAGCATACCAAAGGGAAGCCAAGTCGAAAATGTGCAGCAGGCGCCCGCATCTGCAAACTTTCGATAGCCGCCTGCATCTTCACTCAATATCACATAGCCTCGTGTTGTGACTCAGCCTGCATGAATATCGAGTTGCAGGCTGAAACATTCTCCACCACATTGAAGACCAAATATTTGCATCTAGACCTCATGAACTGCTCTTTAAGGATAGTTGATTGGTTTCGGCGCTGCTGAAGAAGAAACCTCGGAGATGAATACTGAAAAGGTATTAACAGAAATGAACCTGTTAACAAAAGCTTTCTGTGAAAAGGAGTCATGTTGTTGTTTCTAAGGGTTGGGAGAAAGACCTTCACGGGCTGGGATTAAGATATAAGATCTCATCTGTTTCCCTCTCAACCATCCAGCATCACTCATCACCTCTCTTACTAGCCTCATCACTTAATATTCACATCTCATCACAGCTTCTACTATGTACTCTACCTTCAACGCATCCAGCCGTCCGGCTGCATGGACCCTCGACCAGCCAGAGGCTGACGTCGCAGTTAACTCGTCCGAGTTCAACTCCACCAGTTTCTCTGCCGCCGACTTCTCCTCAACTGGCTTCCAGCCGATCGTTGAGAAGACTGGACTCACTCTTCCTGACACTACCATCTCTCCCGACACAGCAATGTCTCGCTGTAAGTGTTCCTCTTCCATCAGAACTACTAATACTCACTATCCCCAGCCATTGTCAAGATTGAAGCGCGCTTTGCCAACAAATTAACCGGTTACTCCATCTGGAAGATCAGCACCGGTCTCCTTGTCAGCCCTGACCTCGTCGTCGCAGGTAGCGAGGCCGTGTACGATGCGGAGTATCAGCTTGGTGCGGCTACGCAGGTCAAGTGCTACATTGGTTACCGTGGACGCGACATCCAGCCCCGAAACGGCCAGCGTGTTGTCTTCTCAGCAGACTGGACTGGAGGTTCGGAGAGGCGCTCGCGAGATATCGCTTTCATTCAGGTTGCTCAGCCTTTTGCTTTGAGTGCGCATGTTCAAGGTATGTCAGACTAGATTGCTTTACCATTCTTAGTTACTGACGAAATGGCATCTGCAGAAGAACCCGTCCCCGTCCCCGTCACTGTTTGCACCAACTGCAGCGCTCACGAGGTCCCCGTCGCTCAGTCCGAGCCTGAACCCAAGGTCACTCAGATTGATGCTCCTGCTCACGAGGTCCCAGTCGCTCAGTCCGAGCCTGAACCCAAGGTCACTCAGATTGATGCTCCTGCTCCCGTTTGTGTCGAGCCCGTAGTCGAGGAGCCTCAGCTCGCGATTCCAACCCCAGCAGCTGAACCAATCCCCGAACCCGACTACGTTGACATCAAGATTGACAATACGCCCGACACTTCCGTCTCTGACGACGTCGATCCCTTCTACGAAACCCTCAAGACCGTATCCCAAATCGACACAAAAACCCTCGACATCGAATCCTCACTGATCGACGACGTCGGCCAATTCGTCAGTGTCGCCGCTGGCTCTCTCGTCAGCCACGTCGTCGGCACAGAGACCATCTCCAGTGGGAAGGCAACCAAGCTCTCCGGTGTCTCTGAGCGTGCCCTCCTCGCCGAAGCATCTCTCCAGGCTGTATTCGCAATCGAGCAGTCCACCGAGCTTGATGAGATCATCGCAGCGATGAAAGATAACTGGACTGCCAATGCGCCACAGGTTGATGAGCTTTCTGAGCTTCTTGCGCCGTACCTTGCTGAGGCTGCTCGATGCATTATTGAGTATCATCAGGAAGATGAGGCTGCGGGGAATGTCACTTCCTCCAAGGCTCTGAAGCGCCGAAATCTTGGGATTCGACAGTTCCCTGTCAGCGATGCAACCAAGGGTTTTGTCAAGGGCCTCTTTGAACCTACGCTTCCTCTTGCAGGTCGTGAGGATGTCTTCTCCTCTCTTGGTCCTGCCCTCCGCAGTGCTGTGTCCGCTGTCGAACAAATCGTCTGCCAAGCTGGAAGCACCGCAGTTGATGTGAACACGCCCAAGCTTCTCACCAAGTACAAAGGCCCTGCCCCCTCAGCCGGCGACATTGAAGCAACCCGCGTTCTCGTCCAACGCGCCATCATGGCTGATGCCGCTTACCAGGCCCTTTCTACCCTTCCCCGCGAAAAGCTCCAAGCTCTAAAAGTCATCCCTCTCGACGCTGAGCTTCCTCCAGCTGACAACATCTTTGACTTGATCAAGAACGTCATTCAGAAGATTGGTCCTGTTTGTCTTCACGACGCCAGGCAAGCTGTGCACAAGTTTTTCCCTCTCCTCGTCGATACTCCTGCCAAGGCTCCCAAGCCTGTTCCCGCAAAGACTGCGAGCAGCAAGTTTGCGCTGAGAGACTTTCTGAGCAGCAAGAAGGGCTCTGTCAAGACACTTTGAGCATGTTACTACGAGTGAGATGTATGCGATTATGTGTTTGGATTCATGGAGGATAGACGAAGGGAAGACAACCCAACGAAAAAATAACCAGTCGACATGAAGTTAGAGTGACGCCAGTGGAACGTTGAGATCAAGCTTGTTACTACCGGAACCGGCCGCAACCGGAAACTTCCCTTTGTCTTTGTCTTTGTATCTAGTTATTCTAATTCTGTGCTTCTGTATTTAGTTTTTCTTTCTGCTTAATTGAACACATCAGCTGTTGCAGCATCATGTCAGCCAAATTCATGTCCAACGTTAGCGGGCTTGTTACAAATGGCAATTTCCGTAAGATCAGCTGAATTGGGCATGATCCACTGTCATCGTTCTGTGTCAGTGTCGGAGCGAGGTGGCCTATCATGTCGTTTTCCGCGTATTCGCTGACCTCGTTTATTTCCGCGCTGGGAATGCCCTCTCCACTCTGATGCGGGGATACCAAAGTCCCATTTCTCGTTCAACAGATCATCACATCTCCAAGTGAACAAGTCCCCTCCTCGGCCCTGTTCAGCAGTAAACTATGTACATCCCCTCACCTGTTCCCTGAACCCATCAGCCATGTGGCCATTGGTATTAAAGCCCCCTCATCAGCCCTGGCCATTGACTTCTTCTGCATTCGCTGGCATCGCAACGTCATATCCCTCTGTGGCTTAGCTCGTGCCGAATGTTCCGAGCTGAGACACAGCCTCCACAACCGGGCCTCCCAAAAAAACCGAAACTCTCTCGGCCGAAGAAGCCGTCTGTGGATCTCAACCTTTTTTATCTCGCTGTCCACGGAACGAACTAGCCACTCAAGACGCGTCAGTCCCTGCAACCAGTCAAAGCACTAATCACCATCAAACTCTAGCATGTGCTTAGACCCAGTGAGATCATACCCGTTGGCTATCCCGTAAATTGCGCCCCTTGGCTCTACTCAACTTATTTATCCTTTGCAATCCTCCCCTTTGAGTTCCCATCTTCCTTCGTTTCATCTTTTTTTCTTCTACATCTGTTTTTTTTTTTTTGTTTTGGATACTCAGAATGCTCGGCTTCGTGGCCCTCTCGCTCTGGCTCAGCGCAGCAATCGCTGCTCCGGAAGACACGGCTTTGATCCCCAGGGTCAATTCAGTCGAGATCCGAGCCCTACCAAATTCTCCGAGTGGTGGATATGCCCCGAAAGTAGTCGACTGCCCATCAACGCGTCCCAAAGTTCGTCTTGCCCATGAATTGTCCAGCGAGGAAGAATCATGGGTTCGAAAGCGCAGAAATAACACCATCGATGACCTCAAGACTTTCTTGTCGCGAGCCAACATTTCTGGCTTTGATGCCGAGAGCTTCGTTGAGAAGCACAAGAACAATGCAACTGGTCTCCCCAACATCGCCATCGCCGCATCAGGCGGTGGTTATCGCGCTTTGATGAACGGCGCAGGATTCCTCTCAGCTGCTGATTCACGCAACAACAAGACCGGCCCCATCAGCGGTCTTCTCCAGTCTGCAACGTATCTAGCTGGTCTTTCCGGTGGAGGCTGGCTCGTGGGCTCCATCTTCGCCAACAACTTCTCCACAGTCCCAAGTTTACAATCTGGTGACAAAGTCTGGCGTTTTGACCGCTCCATCTTCAAGGGCCCCAAGAGCTCGGGTATCAGTCTCCTCAACACTGCCGAGTACTGGGATGAGATGAAGGATGCCGTTGATGACAAGGACAAGGGCTGGAATACCACGCTCACTGATTGGTGGGGTCGCGCATTGTCGTATCAGCTTGTTAATGCGCCTGAGGGTGGACCTTCGTACACTTTCTCTTCTATTGCCGATACCTCCAACTTCAAGGACGCAGACACGCCGTTCCCCATCCTCGTTGCTGATGGTCGTGCTCCAGGTGAGCGCGTCATCTCCTTGAACGCCACTGTATACGAGTTCAACCCATACGAGTTTGGAACATGGGATCCTACAACTTTTGGCTTCGTACCTACGGAATATCTCGCCTCCAACTTCACCAACGGCACCATCAACTCCAAGGGCGAATGCGTTCGAGGCTTCGACCAGATCGGCTTTGTTATGGGAACATCTTCTTCACTGTTCAACCAGTTCCTTCTCCAGAACATCACCAAGGTCGGCAAAGAGAATGACATCCCAGACATCGTTGTCAAAGCCATTGAAGGCGTCTTGACTGGCTTGGATGAGGATGATGAGGATATCGCTGATTATACGCCTAACCCCTTCTTCGGATGGAATCCTACCGACAAGAGCGTCAATTCCAAGGATCGCCAGTTGACTCTTGTCGATGGTGGAGAGGATCTGCAGAACATCCCTCTTCACCCACTGATCCAGCCCGTTCGTGGCGTTGATATCATTTTTGCCATTGATTCGTCTGCTGATACGAACAACAACTGGCCCAACGGTACTGCTCTCCGTGCTACATATGACCGTGTTGGTTCTACCATCGGCAACGGCACACAATTTCCCTCTGTCCCATCAGCTGAGACTTTTATCAACGAGAAGTTGAACCAGCGCCCCACGCTCTTCGGCTGCGACGCCAACAACTTCACTCTTTCAGACGGCGAAGTTCCACCTCCGCTGATCTTCTACATCCCCAACGCTCCGTACACCTACCACAGCAACGTCTCCACCTTCGACATGTCATATACTACTACAGAGCGCGATAACATCATTCACAATGCTCTCAACGGAGCGACTCAGGGCAACGCTACCATTGACAAGGAGTGGCCTACTTGTGTAGCGTGTGCGGTTATGAGCAGAAGTTGGTGGAAGGCGAATGAGACTGTGCCCGACGCATGCAAGACCTGCTTTGACCGGTACTGCTGGGATGGAAAGACGAATGACACTGCTGTTAAGAGCTATGAGCCTGAGTATATCATTGGAGGAAATGCGACCGCGGAAGCGGCTGATAATGCAGCTGGAGATAGGCTTGGTCCAAGCTGGTTTGTCTCGGCTGGTGTCGGGGCTGCTGCTTTGTTTGCTCTCATGTGATAGCGGGAATTTATTTGTAATATTTGATAGACTTGAATTTTCATACTTGTTCAACTTTACCAGTCCTTGTGTAATCATTATGTAATTGTATCCTGCCTTCTACGACCGTGCTCGCCTATTGGTGGCCTGAACCTTTGCACTTCTTTCTCTTCAATCAGAGGAGCCAAGTCGCCTGTTCTACTGCCTGGTCAATACTGCCAGCGGACAAACAGTCGGCTTGAAGTCGCTGAATGAGATCATTTGGCAAGGTCGTGGCGGTATAGGTGATCTAGTGAACAAGTCTATTATTTTGACTCTATTGCTGTTGCAACAAAGCCCTCACATCTTCAGCGACCCAAGAAGCTCAGTCAACTGCGGCACATCAGCCGGAATCTCCTCCCACGTTAGTAACTTCTGTGTCTTTGCGTTAATCATATTCGTGTAAATGTCCGCCATCCTCCTACTATCCCAAACGCCCTCCCTTCTCCCCAAACACCTTAGAAGCCTCACCGCCTCCCATTGCACGCTCGTGTCCTGACATGATATTATAACATAGGATATTGGAGGGACCAGGTTCGCCTGGAATGTAAAGATCTGACCCTTGTCGCTTTGCGTCATCTTGATAACCTCTTCCGCCTTCTTCAGTATCTCGATACAATCGGCTGTTTCGAGGTCGTCGTCGATGTGGTTGAGCTTGAAAGTCGCCTGCCATGTCGTCTCTTCGCACTCGAGGACTTTGAACCGAAAAAGCTCTGACTCTGAGGCCTTGGATGGATCAAAGGTCTTTTTGAAAGCTTGATATCGTGCGCTCCAATGATGGTAGAATGCTTCTGAAACCAACTCTTTATCTCGTCGTGCGCATGAAACTCCACCATCGCCGCATAGCTTCTCATCTGAGCAGTCTGGGCATTCGGCGTACAACTCTACATCGCAGAGCGTCTCGACGTGTGTCAGTGCCGCAGCCGCAGCTTGTGCAGAAGTAAAAGGCTCGCCTGGTACTTCTAGATCAATTGGATCCTGCTTATCAGCCCATTCCGTAATCTCCGCGACAAGCTTTGGGGAATGGTTGTCCCCCACGTAGAAGAAAAGATCAGAAGCCAGGCCGCATAACGAAGGGCCAATGTTTTCCATAAATTTCGCCAAGTCCCATCGATCACAGGCGTTTAATAACGAGAATGCAGCTTCCAAATGCCGCGTGACGTTCTTGTACCGCCCGTAAAGACTCTCCGTGCAGATAAATATTAAACAACATGTTAAAATAACCTGAAAGTCTTTGTCAGGTGAGTTCATATACTCTTGCATCACCCGAATAGCATTGTTGTACTGCTGGATAGATGCGATCTCGTAAGATTGAGCGAGCGATTGCGTTAACGAGTCAGTCTGGGTCTGAAGCTTGAACGCCTTGTGCGCCCCTCCCAACGCCCCAATGGCAGCCTTGACGGGTTTTGAAGTCTGGCTGAGTGGTAATGCGTACGCATGCCAGAAACTCATCGCGTTGAGTGAGCTCGCAAGTTCTGATACCGTGTATGTGCGGAAGTGATGGCAGAGGTCCAACTCTATCGTTGAACCAAATGTCTCTGGTGATAAAGCTGCTGGAACGAGAAGCTTTGAGGCTGTCGCGAGGCGCCGAGACATGAGGTCATACTGTTTTCTGTGCAGTGCGAGAGATTTTGTCTTTGGTTTGCTTTCTGGAGGGGTGATGTAGCCGTCGCATGTCCGCTTGTCCTTTTCACATCTGAAACACGTGGGTTTTCGTTCATCGCATTTGAGATGTCGGATTCTAACTACGATCAGCGAAGGTTCAGCTCAACGTGTGATAAGAGGCTACAAACTTGCTACGACAATTAGCAGATAATAAGAAAGGTCTGAGTGGTCGACTCACCAAGTTCTACAGCCAGATCTCACCTTGGGCGCCCTCGCCCTCTTCCATTTCACCTTTTCACCAAAGTCTGACATTATGGCGTGAGATCAGCTCAGCTTCCAAGGACGACGATCCCCCACGTGGTGATAAGCGGGCGTGCAAGGCCTAGTATATGATAAACACAAGCACAGGCCCTTCATTCCAGGGAAACGTCTCGCGTTACATAGCGTGAGTCATGAGGGATGTCGAGTTGAACAGGGAGAAAGTGTCAAATTCTTTAGAAGGGCCGGGGCTCTCCTTGATCGAAGCGATCTACGACGGAAAAGGTAAAGACGCTGGCCCCTGGAGGTGGGGTTATATGAGCTTGTCCACGCGGCCCACCCTGATCTTTGGTTGAGCACTGCCTGGAGCGACCCAATTTCACAGTAACCACCTTCTGAATGCGTCTGCCGGGGTGACGAGTTTGTAGGGCTTAGATGGGGCTCTTGAGAGGTTATTTTATCCTTATGTCTGCCTTGAAAAGCAAGGTTATCTAAGGTTTTTAAACGGAGCGGCCGCTTCCGGCACTTAAAATTGCCTGTCGTGACTCGGAGTATCTTTCCGCCGCTTCATGTAACATTCGTAAAGCATTTTCTATAAATAGACGTACCCTATATGAGCCTCGGTATGTCCAATTTCAGGCAAAGCTATTGTCGTTTAACTTTACTTGAATTCGATAAATTCCTTAGCTTGTGGTACTTCCTTCCAACAAACAAGACCTTTCTGTCTAACGTTGTTGGTATTTTAAAACACAGAGCAGCAACTAATGCGATCAAAATTCTATGTGCACGGTTTGGGCAAGTTCTTCGCTATGATGGACTACGGTCAAGATTGAGTAATGGGAAAGGCAGCCTGTAACAACGCGTCTCTCAAACGAGCCTATACTAATGATGTCACAAGAGAGCATAAGGCAATCCTACACCTGTATAAAGATACCTACTAGACTTCCATAGCCCAAGGATTGCGTCAGCTGACGGCTTACGACTTGGAGGATTGGAAGCAAGGAATGCATATGAATACACAAACGAAGGCCGTAATTGTGATCAAAACTTCTCACAGCAGTCAGAATTTGCATGAGACATCAAGTTTCATCACCGCAAGCATGACATCACAACAAGAACTCAGAGAGGCTATCGAAAACACAACTCGACAGTTCTTAGGTGCCTACAAAGAAGCCGGCGAACAAAACGACCCCGCGCTCATCAACCGCGATGTCACCGACTCTTGCAAAAGATACTTCAGGCCAGCCGGTGTTCTTCAGCTATTCGGTTCGCCTCCGGAAGATGGCTTGAGTAACGCCGACTACGAAGCCGCCATGGCGCTCGACCTCAAGAAATATGTGGTTACCTACAGCGACATCGCTGACATGACTGTCGATACCGAGTCGCGCAAATCAGCGGCAACGACTGTGACGGGTATGAAATACAAAGATGGTGACGAGGACGTTATAGAACATTCGTGGGTCTTGGACTTTAATGAGGATGGCTCAAAGGTCACAAAGGTCATCGAGTTTTGCGATATGGATGGGCTAAGAAGGATGTTTGCCAAAGTGTACAGTAACAAGGAAGGGAGTGAGTAGCCCAGAAGTTAGAATGCATTCAATGCATGACAATGCAGAGTAACGCTGCATGTTGTGCATACTCGACGGTTGAAGTTCATAATAGCCAATCCATTTGCCAAGCTTGCGTATCTGGGATAAGATTCCTTTTTGCGAACCACCACTGATAACCTCAAATCGTGCTTGTGTGATACACCCGATAGTCCAAAGTCCAGCTAATAGATGTACCGGAACTGGGGAATCTTTCTATCCGTCTTGTCGCTCAGATTGATCCCTTCTAATGGTACCTCTATGGCATCTCCAGCATCGTCCCGCTTCTTATTCTCCCAGATGAGATAGAACCGCAGGGCCATGCAGAGGACTGCAGAAATTGCCAGGCAGATCATAACAGACAGGAATCCCGACTTGTAGCCAGGCGCCTCGGAAGGGAAGAAGAGATGGGGACCAATAATATTTCCAGCACAATATGCGATAAAGACCTGAATTAAGTCAGCGTACTGAGGGGAGGGACTAATGAGACTGGGATGTACTTGCCATAGCACTAACTGTAGTCTTCTTAGTAAAGCCAGCGAAATTGCTCGACACCATAGCCATGGTCATAGGGAAATTGGCAGTAAAGGCGACTGCAAGAGCACAGCCCATGACCCGAGTCCACTTATGCGCTGGATCAACCTCACGCACCATGACAGCCCCAACGATGCTGACAATGACATTGAAAGTCATGAACAGCAGTCGAGTATTTGGGAGATAGGTGCTTCCAATGACAGAGATGAGAACAAAGACCAACTGAAAGACAGATGGTAAGATATTAATAAGGAGTGTCTTCAGGACAGAAAAGCCAAGACCCTGGATAACAATAGTGTTGAACTGTAAAGCTGTGAGTCACCAGATACATAGACGCAAGGGAATGGCTTACTGTAAGGAGTCCATTGTTGGGGATGATTGTAGCGAGATAAGCGACTGAGAGAAGCCAGGCATTTGGGTCGCAGAGTGCCTCTATTACCTGCTCCCTCTTCCACTTGTCATTCTTGATACCAGTCATGTTCGCCTCGACTCTAGCAACGGCTTGAGCTCTCTCATCCTTGGTCAAGAAACGGGCGTTCGCGGGCGTGTCGGGGAGGAAAAATAGAACCATGATGGAAACAGCTATCGTCAAAGCTCCAAAGCAGATGAAGATGGCCTTGAAGAAGTTAGCATGAGGGATTAACCCCATGGTCTAGAGAACTTACCTTCCAAGGGGAGAATGTGTTGATTTCCCCAAAGCCGTAGCTAACAAGGCCGCCAAGAATGCCTGCAGACGTGTTTCCGAGGAACCAAGCACCTTGACGTAAAGGCTGCTCTGATCTCTTGTACCACATCGCCACAATCATGGATAGGCCTGGGGCAATCGCCGTCTCAGCTATGCCGAGAAAGAAACGAGTGGCGAGTAGACCTTTGGCGTTGTGGCAAAGAGCCGTGAACATTAGAATAGCTCCCCAGATGAACCTAAGTGACAGTCAGAGGTTTGTAGCGTCGACTAGGGTGAGACTTACATGGTAATAGCGATGACCTTTGCAATGGGGTATCGAACGAGTAATACACCGGCAATAGGGTACGTTGCGACGAGGTACCCAAAGTAGTAGATTGCAGATGCCCAGCCATATTCTTCTCCCTTGAGGTGAAGATCTTCGCGAAGCCCGAGGATGGCTGTATAGCTTAGTGCAGTCTTGTCTAGGAATTGGAAGAGGTAGGCGAATGCCATGATAGGAAGCAAACTGTTATCCGTCAGTTTCTGTCTTGACCATGGTTTATCGGTTACGGGTGCATACTGAAGATCTGCTTTCCGCAGGATTCTTCGATCCTCTTCTGGTGTCAGATCTCGACCGAGGATGGCTCCATTGGCAACTGACGCAAGGTCTGTTTTGTCAAGCTCCCGGTCTTCGAGCTTGATGTCGTTGGTCTCTGATGTGTCTTTGATAGCCATTGTTGGAGATTGATTGCCAAGTGGCGTAGAGGCAAGATTCAGTGAGGTGGTTTGATGTCAATGACTTGTTGAATGATATAGAACAGAAAAGGGGGAAAGAGTCTTCTTAAGTGTCCCATATCGAGTTTATCTTAAATTGAGCTGGAATTTACGATGCAAGGAGGAGGTATCGCAACAAACACCCGAATATTCCCTGAGCTAACACCATGGCTTGGGTAGCTGGGATGAACTAGCCATATTGGTTCTGATAGCCGACGAGAAAGTGCGGGGTAGCCGATGAGAGATCGATCTGGAGTAATACCTCATTGATAGAGTTTTATTACTAGACTTCAGATGGAAATGGGGGAGGATCCGCGGAACGAGGCCGGTGGGTTCCGATGACGGCCACTCCCTGTCGACAGGGAGGGGGTACTATGAGCGGGAGACAAGACGGGAGAGAGTACCGGAGTAGCATGAGATCAATCAGGTGCACGATAGCGAGTACATCCTGCGTTCAAAGATAGGCCAATTCCTGATCGAGTGATAAGAGCGTACTCGGGAACAAGGTGTACAGACGCATGGTGAAGCAGATTGAATCTCACAAGCGTCTCTGTAATTGAGAACATCGGAGCTTAAATTTACTCTTTTGATTGCCCTCACATTAAGCACAAACATATCGATGTAGCCTGATTCGAGAACGCAGTCCGTAGGTCGATACTCGTTCTCAACTCTGGTCTCATCTTCGAAACCCTCTCCAGGAAATCACCCGCACGCGCAAAATGCTCTCCAAACTGGGCCAAACCCTTGAATCTCTCAAGAATCCACGAAACATGGAGTTCTTCATCAGTCTCCAACGCCACCATGAACAATGGACGGGCAATCCGAACCATGGCAACGTCTCCCCCGTGCTGGTAAGCTTGAAAAGCGAGATTCATGATATTACGGATTGTTTTGCTGCTGTCGGTTTCTAGCTCGACCGCAGGCTGTACGGTCCTGGCGATGCGGAGAAAGTCGAGGACCTCGGTGTAGTATATAGGTACTACCCAACGTATAGTCAAAACCATAGAGTAAGTATCATCAATAGCCGAAGTAAGCCGTGTCGCAAAGTCAAGAATGTGCTTATATGTCTCGCTGATCTCATGAATCGCCGTCTCAACTTTCCTGGCAGCTTCAGCTAGTACTGAGCCGCCAACGGGGAGAAGGCTCGTCATCTCGGATGTCAGGTAGCGTAGCTGAACACTAGCCTCCAACAGTTCAAAGAGCTGCTTATTCTCTAGATCATGCACCAGCTCTACTGCGGGGTAATCATCACCCCAGACCAAACGGTAAAGCGGTCCTGAATAAGCGTGGAGACTGGATAGTCTCTTGATTGGACCCGTCGGCAAACTGCTCTTATCGTCACTTTCTGGTAAGGCTCTGCAGAGCACCTTAGTGACTTGCCCGCCGAGCCCAAAAGACGCTGCGGTGGCGTCCATTCCGCAGATTCTTGTTATCAGCCGAGCACAGAATTGGGATAGATGCCGGGGAGTTCCTGATTCAGCTGTCTTCATCAAAGGTACTGACTGACTTGTATCTCTGGCTCGTTGTAGGATATCAGCGTAGTGATGCTTGAAGATCAGTGCTGCCCCGTTTAGATGGCTGGCCAGGCCCTCGCATCTGGTGTCGCCATGGAGTTGTTCGTACATAATCATGAGGACTAGCCCACTCGTCAGTGAATCAAGATTGGCCGACTCGGCTGTTTCGTTATCGCCCAGTATGGTGTGTAGTTCTCGCAATGCCTCGGAATAGTGTTTGAGCCCAAGATTTCGGTACTTTGAGGGGCCATCTTTTGTTGATATACAATACTGTTTCTCATGCCATTGGTGTCTGTAATCAATGCCACGGCCTCCAATCGCAAGTATCATATGTAGTACAAGAGGATCATGTGTAGCAAGGCGCAGCATAATTGCGAATGCAGAGTACTGTGGCTTCTTCATGATGTATAGCGGCGAAAATGACTCCCGGAAGTACTGTATCGCTTCGATCTCCTCACTACCGAGTTCCATCCCGTAAGTGCCCCATTGGAAAGCTGTGCTCAATGAGGGGGATATCTCCTCACTTCCAGACCGAGGACTGCCACAGGAAGACTCGTCTGGTACATTTCCACGAGTTGATGGCTTGACACGGGAGAAGTCGAGGCTTGAGTGGACAAACGTTCCAGCTGAGGACCCTTTAGGAAAGGCGCGGAGCCGGGGTGCATAATCGCAGCTGAGCTTAAGGCGTGCGCACCGTCGGCAAACAGGACGTATCTCGTCGCATTTGACCTTCTTGGTTCGGCATGTCCAACAGCCGTTCCGGGATCTCGGACCTGATCGACCCAGTGGCGTTGGTGAGGAGGGAGATAACGACATTACGGTTTCCGCTCTTGGAGTGATAGCCGACCGCCGATGACAAATGAGAGATATCCAACGAGATATGATGCATCAATCATAAGATGAATGGATAGGTCAGGGAATGTGTGATTAAAGTTGCAGAGTGAGGGGATCCTTACTTATGACACTGGTCGGCAATTTCGGTGGAGCCCGCTATCTTTCGTCGGCTACACGTCCAGAAGGGGTTTGGCTCTTTACCCCAGGCCTAGAGATTCCCCCCTTTGCTAACCTGATAACAGATGGGGTTTCTCTCATTGGCTTAGTACTTGGCGGTATCGGCGTACCGGTAGCGACGTGGAATCGCCCGGGCCGTGTAGAGGAAATCAAGACCCATTGGAATAGAACTTGAAGTTAGTATATAACCTTGCATGTCATGTGAGAAGCACCGACGGTGGCTTGTACCTTAGACTACACCCTATATCCTCTCAGACAAAATGCTGGTAATTGATTCAACTTCCTCCCCTGGCCGGATCGCGCCTCCACATCAAGACGCAGTCCCTCTCGAGAAGGTAGACATCATCGACCAGTGCAGCTCAATCATCGCTTCAACACTAGATACTCTCAACTCCGCCCTCCAAGAAGTCAACCTCAGCATCCACTCCCATCCCGAACTCGCATACCAAGAAGTCTTTGCCCACGACAAACTGACCGACTTCCTCGAACATCACGGTTTCCAAGTCACACGCCACGCATGGGGTCTCGACACAGCCTTTGAAGCAACATTTGGCTCTGGAGGTCGTCAAGTCGTCTTCTGCGCTGAATACGATGCACTTCCAGGGATCGGCCATGGCTGCGGGCATAACCTCATCGCAACATCTTCTCTTGCAGCTTTTGTCAGCGCCACCCGTGCTCTGCAGATGACCAAGCTTCCTGGGCGCTTGCGCATCATCGGAACGCCGGCTGAAGAAGGTGGAGGTGGTAAGATCAAACTCCTCGAGGCTGGGGCGTTTGATCCTCCGCAAGATATCACGGCTGCTTTGATGTCGCATCCAACAACCTCGGGACCATGCTCTGATGGGCTGGTGTATGATGGAATAGCTGGGACGAGAAGCATTGCGGCGTACAAGACCAAGGTCATATTCAAGGGCCGAGCATCACATGCGGGTGCGGAACCATGGAATGGGATTAACGCGTTGGACGCTGCTGTTGGTGCATACGTCAACGTTTCCATGTTGCGACAGCAGATCAGACCAGATGAAAGAGTGCACGGTGTATTCGAAGATGGCGGCGCAGTTCCCAACATTATCCCTCAGTATACTCGAATGAACTGGTGCATTCGCAGTCCCACGCTAGCTGGATGCCAAAACCTCGTCAAGCGAGTGAAGGCCTGCTTTGAAGCAGGAGCTGCTGCAGCAAATTGCAATGTCGAATACGAAACGTGAGTTTTACTATGTACATCTCCCACTGCACTACTGACGGTCCAACCTAGCGAACCATTATACAACGATCTTCTAGTTAACAACACCCTTTCAAAGACTTACGTCGAGGAAATGGCCAAGCTGGGCATGAAGATAAAGTCCCAAGAGAACGTCCCTGCTTCTACAGACATGGGCAACGTTTCTTACCATGTTCCGGGCTTCCATGGTGGATTCGGAATTCCTACTACCCCAGATGTATCCATACACCATCCAGACTTTGCTGCTTGTGCTGGAAAGGAGGGTGCTCACAAAGCAGCTATGAATTGCGCAAGGGGACTTGCGATGACGGCGATTCGAGTGCTGGCAGATGGAGAGCTGTCACAGCGCGTCAGAAACGACTTTGAAAAGACTACATAGGGTCACTGGTATTTAAACTCTTTACATATCTCTAATATGACTTTATTTCGAGGTACATCTTTCATCAAGGTGGACAATCATGGTGAATTTCTACTAGCACGAAACCGGCCGAATTGAATGACACGACCTCTTCAAACTGACTTACGAACTATTAATAGTTTGCCTACTGCGCCAACAAATAAGAGTAAACTCAAATTGCCGTGATTTACGATACATAGCCGGCATAGCCTTAGGACAATTCCCCTGAACAGCGTTGATTTCCTGGTCATTCCTTTGTTGTAGCAGTTCGTATTGCGCTTGGGCGTTTATGATTCGGTTGCCTCGGTTCGGAAGTCGGCATGTCTAAACTAGCCCTATGTTCCAGACTGACACTTACTCGCCCTATCACTGACTGGCATGCGTTTGTAGATCAACGTGACTCGTTAAATGATCTATAATTGGAATGAAAGTTACGGTTGCCCAAGGGATGGCCTGCTTGAGAATTAAGCTCATAACTGTGTCAGAACTGACAGATCTTGTTGTAGTTTAACTGTGCATCAACTACCAATCTTTCTTTAAACTAGAAGTAAAGTGTGTAATTCTCCGGTGTACCATTATGAGCGCAACTGGGAAGTTCAAGACAAGACAACCCTCCATTCTCAGGATTTATCTCGACGTAATTGATCCTCGCCATCCAGGGAGATCACGGCACTTGGCTGGGCGTTCCTGAGACACTGCATATTAGTGGCTAACGCCACAAAGCCTACGGCCCTCCCTTTGTTATTCTCGCCCCGTGATAGGTTCAATGCCTCATCTCCTTGAGCTAGAGGAATGTGTCTTGCCTAGCGACTTCGTATAAAATCAATACGACAAAAGGGACCTTTGTGACTGAGTAGAATGCGGGGTAGGAGCCGTGATGGCACAGAAGTCATTTTAAATTACCTACACGAGAGACACTAACAACAAGACACGGCGCGTTCTTTTATAAATACCAACGACCTTTGTAACCCTCCATCCCTTGACTCTCACCATAATCCCCCTCAAGCACGCAAACACAATCGTTTCTCCATCAAAATGGTTTCCAACACTCGTTCCGTCGTCTTCGGGCTTATGCTCAGCGCCGCCCAGCTCTCAAGCGCTTCACCAGCTGCTTCGGCCGATACAGCCTTCTCATCTCCCATCTACCCAACCGCCACTGACTCCATCCCCGCTCTGCCCTCGTCCACCGACGCGTGCCTTGCGAAATGTAACGCTGCTCACGACAAGTGCAACACTGCGCCTGACGCCAACCACGCCACTTGCGCTGCTGAGTATGCCGAGTGTATTGGCTATAACCCTTATGGCGGCACTTCCTATGTTGAGCCTACCGCCTGCTCGCACTCTGCTAAGCCTACTGCTACTGAGACAGCCAAGGCGGGTGATTGCCTTGAGAAGTGCAACAAGGCTCATGATGCTTGCAATGTAGCTCCTGATGCCAACCATGCTACTTGCGCTGCTGAGTGGGCTGAGTGCTTGGGCTACAACCCTTATGATGGCCCTGGTGGTTCTCTCGTTGAGCCTACTGCTTGCGCTCACTCCGGCAAGCCTACCAGCGCCCACAGTGCTACCGCTACTGCATCTGCCCATGCTGGCGATTGCCTTGAGAAGTGCAACAAGGCTCATGATGCTTGCAATGTAGCTCCTGATGCCAACCATGCTACTTGCGCTGCTGAGTGGGCTGAGTGCCTTGGCTACAACCCCTACGACGGCCCCGGTGGTTCCCTCGTTGAGCCCACTGCTTGCGCTGCCCATACCACCATGGCTTCCGCCACTGGCAAGCACAGCATGGAGACCTCCAAGCCTGCTAGCACTGAGGCTTCCAAGCCTGCCAAGTCCTCGGAGCCTGCTGTTGTTGTCAACGGAGCCGGAAGCCTGTCTGGCAAGGTCGCTGGTTTCGTCGGTGCCATTGGAGCCGCTTTTGCTCTTCTCTAAGGTCTTTCTTGTTTGAACTCATTCGTACTGTCCACGACCATGTCATAATTATAGCCTGTCTTGTTTAAGCCATGGCCAAGCTGAAGTAGTAAGATGGATGGCGGTCTTTTATATTAGCTTAGATAAATCTTAAATTTAATTCAATTTCTTAACTGATGACTTTATTACTCCTTTAACACTGTCCGAACTTCGTGTATTTAAGACTCAAAGAAGTGGCCATGAGCAAGACCAAGGCTTTCTGCTATACCTGGATGTAGGTAGAACCTCATGGATAAGTAGCAACAGACCCATAGTGTCTCAATTCGTTGACAAGGGTTACTTTAAGTATAGTTGCTGCTATCTTTCTATAATAGCCCAATAGTGTTCTGGTGTCAACAGTGCGATCACTGGACTTTCGGATCTAAGCTGTTATAGTCCCTCACATGTAAACGTTCCCAAAACGGCAAAAAGGAACGAGGAGGGCGTAATATAAATAGTACGCTTTATCATGTAAGATACCCCGTTATATGCCAACTCATCTGATTGACATGTCCTTTGCAACACCATCAAAATACCCTACATTGACGCGGAAGGCGGAACGGAACGCCTGGAGGTGATAGTTCCGAGGTGGGGTCCGTCTTATCAAAAGAAGGGCGGAGACTGGGCGATTATTATCTGAGGAGACTGATCAAACAGACTTTTCCTGAAGGGGAATTTTCTTACAGTGACTGAACGACATATCCCCCACCTTTCGTGGGAATCCCTTTGGATCAAAGGGAGCACCCGTTAAGTATTTTTGTAGGACATGCTCCAGTATTGATTGGCTGCTGATCTCACGCCACAGATACAAGCGATAAGGCTAAAGCTCACGATCAGAAGACTGCATTATCAAGGGTACCTGGATCTTAGTGATGACTGCTGGTCAGGCTAAGTACCTCTGACACCGGCTTCCTCTTAGCAACCCCACCGAGGTACCAAAATGGTGCTCCATTGGATCTACAGGGATCGGAAATAAGCACGATTTCTGAAGTCTCTATTGAATGATATATAGATGCAACACCATACAGACATAACTACTGCTTCAGCCAGTCAATCAATCAATAGCTACTGATTCACATTCAATTCCAAAACAACACATTGTACAGACAGAATTGAGCACCATGGACTCCGCAGAGTTTCGTGAGGCAGCTCGCACAGCCATTGACGAGAGTAAGTCTTCTGGACTGAATTAATGACCCTGATGTTAACCAATACAGTCACTGACTATTACGACAATATCTCCTCCCACCGTGTCGTGTCCGACGTGAAGCCAGGCTACCTCCGCCCTCTCCTCCCATCATCAGCCCCCCTCGAAGGAGAGCCTTGGAGCGATATCCACGCAGACATCGGGTCCAAAATCCTTCCCGGAATCACCCACTGGGCCAACCCCCGATTCATGGCCTTTTTCCCCTGCTCAAGCAGTTATCCTGCTGCCCTGGCCGAAATGTACTCTACTGCCTTCTGTGGTGCCTACTTCAACTGGATCTGCAGCCCAGCTGCCACAGAGCTTGAAACAATCGTGATGGACTGGCTCGCTAAAGCTCTCGCTCTCCCGGAATGCTATCTGAGCGGCGGTAGTACCCATGGAGGAGGTGTTATTCACGGGAGTGCTTGCGAAGCGATCCTCACTGTTATGTGCGCTGCTCGCGATAAGTATCTCGCTGCTGTCACCAAGGGCATGGATGAAGATGCTGTCTGGGACGTACGCAGCAGACTCGTCGCGCTGGGAAGTTCTGGAACTCACTCGAGTACCAAGAAAGCAGCTCAGATCCTCGGACTCCGCTTCGTCGCTATTCCCGTCGCTGAGCAAGACGGACTCGCCATGACGGGTCGTGCTGTCGCCAAGACGGTAGATGAGTTGCGCGCCCGTGGGCTGGAACCCTTTTACCTAACTGTTACGATGGGCACGACGGATGTTTGTGCAGTGGATGACTTTGCAGGCATCGTCGAAGCGCTGTCTCCTACTGCTGGGACAGAAAGGGATATCTGGGTCCACGTTGATGCGGCCTATGCAGGAACTGCACTTCTTCTTGAGGAGAATCAGCCGTTGACTACACCAATGGCTGACTTTCACTCTTTCAACTTCAACCCGCACAAGTGGATGCTCACTACTTTCGACTGCTCTGCTCTTTGGGTCCGATCCCGAGCCTGGCTTATCCAATCTCTCAGCATCAAACCGCCGTACCTGCGGAATCAGTTTTCCGATAATGAACTGGTCACTGACTATCGCGATTGGCAAATCCCTCTTGCACGACGCTTCCGCTCTCTTAAGCTATGGTTCGTTCTTCGCAGCTACGGGATTAGAGGACTACAAGCGCACATCCGAAATGGAGTTACGCTTGGTGAATCTCTGCAGAGCAAGCTGGCTAGTCGACCTGATCTATTCACAATCTTTACCTCTGCGCGGTTTGGCCTAGTGACTTTTCGAGTCAAGGGAGCTGATGAAGCGGAGATCAACGCTCGGACGGAAGAGCTTTATGAATGGGTTAACAGGACTGGGGAGTTTTATCTTACTAGCACTGTTGTCAATGACAAGTTTGCGATTCGTGTGTGTACAGGTGTTGAGAGGGTTCGAGAGGAGCATGTACAGCGGATCTTTGATGTTTTGGTTGAGAGGACGGAAGCAGAGTTGGGTAAAACTAAGCAGTGAAGGATGGTATAATGATAGAATGAATCAAGAGACAGACCATAATGACAAATTTTGCTGCTGAGTACAAAAATTGCACTGTACCGGACTGTGAATGTGAGCGTCATATGCTATCACAGTACCTGACGATCTGGTATGGAATGGTCTGCAGAACAAAGCATTGCCCTATCATGAATGCCGTTAAAATATCCTTCTGGGTTAATAAATAATTCGACCCATGGAGCCCATCTTCTCGTTTGTCGGAGGAAACTTCAACTGTTGCTTGTCAAGCAACGTTGACAGTGGTTCGAAATAAGCTTCGAGCATCTGTAGAGTAATAAATGATACGATTCGACAAAAATGCTATATACTTTCCTGCCCTCATTGTTGCCTACAATCAGACTTTATCACGGAAATTTAGTGATCCCGATGAAGAGATAGGTTGCGAAACACCGCTTAGTCATTTTCGTGGTGAACCTCCCCAGCATCCTGGAATTGGGTTATTAACCTTATCAAGGTCAGGCAATCGCGTAGATTAGGGAGTCGAGCTGATCTGATGAGCTGATGGACCCTTGCTTTTTGGGCTCGGGCGGCCGAGATGCCGCGGGTTGCCGCGGGGTCCCGTTAGCTCACGTCGGAGCCGTCGAGCGCAACGAGAAGGTCACCATCATGCCGATCTGCGAACGAGAATGAACGATATCGCAAGTAGCGAAAGCGAAAGTCGTTTGCTGAACGTGACCTCAATGAGGGCTTTGTTCAGATCCATAATAAATGTCGCTGAAACATGACAGCGTGGATTATTTCAGGGCTGAGAGTAAGCTTCAGCCACGAATCTTGACAAGGGTCAGCTCCAATGCTCAGGTCATTCGATTTATGCATTGATGAGCATATCACAGCATATGAAACCAGAACCGTGTCTGCCTCGCGTATTTATAGCTGACGCAGAGTAAGACGGGCTCATCCGTATATCCAGCCCCAACTGGCAAAACGAGCCACCCAAAGTGCATTATTCGTATCCCCCAAATTACACCTACCCCAGAAATGGAATAGTCCTCACCCCAAACATTGCCGTTTCTGCCGCTGCCTCTCTCCTAGTGACCCTTGCCCGCTCTGCCTGATTCAGGGGACGCGCCCGCGGGTGACGATCACAGAAAAAATGGCTCGGGTCATCACTGTCATCACTCTCCTTTAGCACGTGGCGGTCGTTTCGCAACATCATACGGTATCCGCAGCCGCCAATCACACCCGAGTCGAGAACAAAAAAGCCTCGAGGCTGAGTTGGCGCGCACGCAGGGATGTTTCGATGACGACGCGTCTTTTTTATGTATGTACCGGCGGTTGCCCACTTCAATGAATTTAAGATTTAATTTGTTATATAAGGCGGGCGAAGGTGAAAAAAGGAGTCTTTAGTGTTTTTCACATGAAACTTTGACGCACGCGACGTATAAATACAGCAAAAGGACCCTGATTTTTCTTGACATCGCGGGGAATAATTTTGGACAATGGCGCTGCAAAATATCATTCAACATTTGCGCGCGCGCTTTGGGAAATATGAACGACTTTACGACGAGGAGCACATTGAGTCGGAATCACCATCTTACAAACGATGCGTCCCCAAACGATTTGGATTCCCGCGGTTCAGGAAGCTCACGGTCTATCTGATCCTCATCAACCTCATCATTCTCGGATTCTTAATTCATTCCATTAAACCGCTCATCACACTTCTCATACGGAATAACGAACTTTTCGCAATTAATTTCAATGTCGACCACGCAGCACCGCCAGACGCATTTCAAAGACCAGATGGGAAGAAGATACCGAGGATTTTACACCAAACAGCGCCGAATAGCTCGATTCCGGAAATTTGGGCAGCGTCGCAGCGGAGTTGTCAAGAAGCGTATTCTGATTTTGAATATAAGCTTTGGACTGATGAAGGCGCGAGGGAGTTTTTGAAGGAGGAGTTTCCGTGGTATCTCGACACTTGGGATAACTACCCTTTTCCGATTCAGCGCGCAGATGCGATTCGGTATTTTGTGCTGTACCACTTTGGCGGGATTTATATGGACATGGACACCTATTGCAACTCGTCGTTTCCCGTGGATCAGATCGAATCACTACCAGGAAAAGAGCACGCTTTATTCAAATCGACATTACCGACTGGTATCACGAATGATTTTCTCATCTCGACAGCAAGACATCCAGCTTTCGCATCAGCTATTACAAGACTTGCCAGCTTTCATCAATTGACGCGACTCTGGGCGCGTCTCCAACCCTACGCAGCTATCATGATCTCTACAGGCCCTCTCTTTTTGACACTGGCGGTGCAGCAATATCTGCTCGGCCAGCCGATTCTCCCGTCGCCAAACATACACATCATGGACCCCTCTATGCTAGACGCATACATGGCAGACCTCGAAACAGCAACATGGCATCGGAGCGACGCTCAAGTCCTCAAGTGGCTCGGCGACAGACCGTGGTCATGGTTCAGCCTAGGAATCATTGGAGTCGTCGCAGGCATATACACGTTTAATTGCGTGCTATCACGAACCTTTACGACACTTTACCGTAAATTATTATAATAAACATCAGCGATTTGCTTTTTCTCGAGAATAAAATAAAATAACAATTTCAAATTTCCCTGGGTGCATAATTTCATGCCCCCCTGCTGATTAGGTCGGCAAGTTCTTCACTTGTAATTTACTTCGGATAAGCGGCACGAATTACGTGGTCACGGCTTCGCTCCTGTAATTTTCGGCTAGTTCCAAAGACAGAAATAACCGAAAAACTCAAAACGCGCCCGCGTAAAAAGAAGTGGCCCGAGAGAGGAGAATACGGGTTGACCAATTAGAGCGTGAGGCGCAGACGAGAAAGCTGATGAATGGATTTGGTCTAGATCACGTCGTCAGAAGACAGCCACGTACGTGGCTTAGCTGTCATATCGCGCCCCTTTTCATTGCATGTACTGGAGTACTTCGTAGGAGCATCAGATGCATGACCATGGGGCTTCTGGAGAGTTTCAATGAAAGATTGGGGCTTTTCATGCGCGGGCCCCGCGGGGTTGTATTGCATAAAATTGAAAGTTTAAATTGAGTTCGGAGCCTTACCAGCGACTTGGGTCAACTAACCTTGTTGCCTGATGATCTGATCTGTCTGGCAGTATCACGTTTGTGGCGCAAGACTTGGATCGCGGATCTCAGCGAGTGCTTCCGGAGTACGAAAGGGATAACGGGCTGATTACTAGAACAAAGACATTTCAAGTGGCAGATCTGCGCCGCAAAGGATATTTGTATTCTCACTAATCCCGGGTCTTCAGCCTCATCGAAGATTCTTGCTGCATGCTCATTAGAACGTGGTACACCCACCAACTTTGTATCTACTTTAGAATAATTCCTGGAAAGGACTAAAATATTATCTAATACTACGGCATGGGTAAAAGTCTCTTTCCGTCGGCGCTAAGCTACAGGGCTTCCCTGATCTCACTCTTCACCAACAATATACCATTGCTCGGCATACCCTCCTTATCCAGCACCCTCAAAAAGCGATATCCAAGCCTCAACCTATCCAAACGAACACAAGCCCAAGCAGCCATAACATCAGGCCCAGGTACATCATTCATGACCCTGAATGAAAGGAAAGCCAATTCCGGAACAACTCCCTCAACGTTAAGGAACTCAACAGTCTCACCTCCAAAGTCCGGACTGGTTCCTTTGCTTTTCCCTGTTTCGCCACTGTACCCAATTTGCTTAACCTGCTCAGCGGTAGCATTCTCATCGATCATGGCGGAGAGGGCATCAGGTTCTGTGTGAAGACCAATTTTGACGTAAGGAATGAACTTGGCGGGATCATCGTGGCGGTTGAGTAAGGGGAGGTTCTGTGCTGCGATGATAGTGATAGCCACTCTTTCCAACGTCTTACTAGGAATTTGAGGCTGCTCAATGCTCTGCTCTCTTGGGTCATGGCGATATCCCTCTGGCTTGAGAACATATCCATCTGAGCCCATAAACATACCCTCATTGAGCACCATGCCCAGATCCCATGATTGCCAGTTGAGCGCTACAACCTGAACACCAGCGCGCCAGAAAATGACAGGATCGTAGTTGGACGAGTCAAACCGCATACCATGTGGATAGGTCCTCATGAGAAACTGTCTGTTATGCGAGAAGAGCGCCTTCGGCATGCGTCTCTGAATAGCAAATGCTGCATTTTCCGAGAGCGAGAAGATATGATTCGGCATCGAGGCTTCAGGCTCCTCAAGGGACTTGAAACTAATCCCTCGGGTATGAATGCCAAGACGGCTCAGGCGCGGGATGATCTTTGGTGGCTTGACCTTCTTCACCTTCTTCTCGTCTCCCTCCACGACAACCTCAAGCATACTCTCGTCATCCGTGCTATCAGACGTGTCCTTGCCCTTCGCCTTGCCATCCTCAGGAACATACTTCACCTTAATGAGAATCTTGTTCCTCAACTCGTGCGGAGATGGCAGGCAATCGGATTCAAACTCAGGTGCAGGGAGGAGAAAGTCAGCCCAAACGTCCTCCATGATATTGACCATTGAGCCTTGTTGTAGTGGAGAGCAGTGGACTTCCAGACTGACGATGAGTGGAAGATCAGACGTGGCGAAAGCATACTCTTTGACGGTCTCGCATACGTCGCGGAAAAGGACCTCTTTCGTGAGAGTGAAGCCATGAAGAACTCTCGGCTCGGCGTCGATAATATCCAAGAGTCTGTCATCAATCGTTCTACCGTCAGGATCAACAGGATCAAACTTATTCATAGCCCAGCGGCCAAATTTGATCATGGCTCGATCTGTAAAGCCCATCTTTCTAGGCGCAGCTTCCCGCGAAATATCCTTCACTTCTTTCTCCTCATCGTCTGATCCGAATCCAGGCTTCCACTGCTCTTTGCCATCCCAGACATCAATCTCAATACAACGACATCCACGTAGTAAAGCGTCTTTATACGCTTCAGTGCTTGAGTCGCTAGAGAGTTGGTTCCCAGTAAGATAAGTGTTGTGGCTCGAGCTGATGAAATAATTGTTCAATGGCCATGTCAAGTCTTGCGGAGCAGCCATCTCGAGAATATTACCGCATGGTGAAGTGAGATACTTGATGAGTTCAGGTAGGTTTAACTCATCTTGGTCGACGAGGTAACTGGCCAGACCTTCTGGGTTCTCGACTTGGACGTGGTGCATGAAGAGGCCGATCTGGTCTCGATGCCAAGTGCCGTTGGGTCCGGCATATTTGTTGAATAATTGGGTGAAATGACTGAGGAAAGACTCTTCCAGATTCTCCTCAATGCCATTGCGCTGACCAGTTGGATGCCCACCGCCAGCCCTGTATTTAGCGAGCGGGAAGTTCTCGGTTGACTTAACAGACATCTCGATATCATACAAAAAAAAGAAGATAAATTTGAGTCCCTATGAAACACAGTCTACGACGCTTAGTCTTTATATGAGTAGCCAAGACATAGCCTCATTCTTAGTTTTTCAATGTTACGGACTCACCGTTATACAAGCGGATAAAAGACCGTGATATCTGTGGACCAATTCGCTGTCAAGCTCATGAGGCATTGTGCTTGGCAAGCGAACAATTGTTCAAGCCGGTTGTTCGGCATTGGGGTTCGCCTTGGCCTGCGCCTTGACCCTATACCAATGTGTGCTTTTTTACGGACTGACGAATGAGAGTGCGGTATTTGACTCCATTTGTTACTCAGCACCAAACTCGGTGGACGGCAAATAATTTGCGCTTAGATATAGACAACCATAGCTTGCCGTTATTGTTTTCTTGGCTGGAGGGATGGTGATTCGGGTCAGAGCAGCCAATCAGGCTGTATCGTGTCGTTGTTCGAGAATCATTTTGAAGGTCATCTTGGTTGACAGATTTGTGGAGATCCACCCTATAGGGCTGGAGACAACCAATTCTTCCAGCCTGAACAAAGTGAACAAAACATTCCTCGGTGAATTGAATTGAGGAAATGCAAAATTACTGTTCATCGAAACTATGAGCAGTGATTGAATTACAGCGACTCAGATTTGGTGGCTCCTCGTGAAGCCCTTGTGAAACATCGTAACCAGGCCAATCATCAACGAGCCACGTATCAATTTTCGTATCTCGACCCATCGTGGAGCTGTCGACAACAACACCATCACTTCTACTCCGGACATCTCCATCATCCATTATGTACGAGCCAAAGAAAATCATCTTCTACGACATCGCCGCCCGTCCGCCGGTGGAAAAGAACGTCTTCTCCCCCAATCCCTGGAAAACCAGATTCGCCCTCAACTTCAAGAAAGTCCCCTACTCTACATCATGGGTAGCCCTCCCAGACATCACCAAAGTGCGCACCAGCCTCAACGTCCCCGCCTGTCGTAAATTCAACGACGGCAAAGACTTTTACACGCTACCCATCATTCAAGATCCCTCAACTGGTTCTGCAATCGGCGACTCCTTCGACATCGCTATCTATCTACAGAAAACCTACCCAAGCTCTGGTGGAGGTGATCTCTTCCCCACCCAGACGCTCGACTTTGACTTTGAACATCCCTACATCCTCGTCCCGCTCTCCGAATGGCGCGACAAGGAAAACCCCGAGTACGCCAGATTCAATCTCAACATCGACGCGGCATTCACAGCACATGTTCAACTCGGCGTTCAGGGCATGCCGTTTGATCCAGCGAGTGAGGAGGAGAGCAAGGCGGAGTTTGTGCGACGTGCGGGGGTGAAACAGTGGGACGACTTTGCGCTAGTTGGTGAGGCGAGGGATAAGGTTATGCAGTCTTTGAAAGAGATGCTGGGTAATCTTGCAAAGTTGTTTACGAGAGATGGGAGTGGTCCGTTTTTGCTGGGGGAGAAGGTAAGTTATGCGGATATCATTGTTGGTGCGTGGTTGAGGATGTTGCATGCTACGCTGCCTGAGGATGAGTGGGCGCAGATTGCGGGATGGCATGATGGGACTTTTGGGAAGTTGCATGAGGCTCTGGATGTCTATGCAGAGGTGAAATAGATTCGATACGATCATAGGCTATGTCAAGTAAACTTGTCTTCGCCCCGCGAACCCCAATACCCCTTGTATGAAGTGCAATCTCTCGGCTATCAATCTTGAATACAGCCCAACGCACTATGTCCCACTTCCATTTTAAAACTAATCTAAAGACATTTCTATAACACTCAAAAAGTAGACAGTAACGCTCAGCTATCACGGTGCCAAGTCGCAGGGCACGCCTGCGTCTTGGTCTGTTGACTTGTTCTACTTATTCTGTTAACTCTCCACTATATCATCCCTTCCAATCGCTTCTATAAGAACTGGACTCTATGTTAAGCACTGGGTTCTTACCTATTCTGACATTATTGAGATTGACTACTCCTTAGCAAACTCCAAAGAAGGGTATCGAACTTAAAGATCTCCAGCAAGAGGACTGATAATTGGCACTTAATGTATAACCCTTCTTGCTCTAAAGGTAAGGGATATCCAGATGTCTTGTAACTCTTTAACAACTTGCCTTGCTAATGGCATACTGCAGCGTATGATCAAGGGATCGGAAAATAAATGTTTCAGATTAGGACTGAAAGGGCGAGATAAC